CAAGCACTATTAAAATTGGAAGTTACTAGAAGAGAAAAGTTTATAGACCGAGATAATGAATTTTGACAGACGACTTAAAAGATTGCAAGTTATATGAATTAGGAAAGCAAGATGAAGCAAGCGAATTTTAAAGAACTGATGTTCAAGGAAAAAAAACCAGACAAAAAAGAGTTTTTGGAGCACTTGGGAATAGTCACAGAGAAAAAGATGAGACAAATATTGAATGACAAGTAATACCATGATGAATTTAAGTAGAGATGCTAGCTCTTTAGAGCAGTGACCATTTTAGTATTTGTAGAAAAGAGAAAGAGAAGCAACATTATGAAAATGTGCAAATGGTTGGTGGTTGTCTGCAAGAGAATGTCCAACTATGTTTACAACACGTTTTTGCAACTTGTCTAAAAGAGAAAGGGCATCAATCGAAGATCCGCCCCATATTTATTGCTACAATATTCCATACAAGGATGGATTTGGGATTTATGAAGATAATAAGTAAGAAGAGTAAGAAAGTGAGCGCAATAAAGAGATGCAACCTTAGCAGATGCTAATTTTGCAACAAATTTGATATATGGTTTCCAAGAAAGATTGGAAGTAAGAGTTAATTTTTGAAGATGAAGGATAGATGACTTGTCGAGTACATCACCGTTCATAAAGATAGCAAGATTTAAATTATTGCGACTAGATCTAAATTATTGAAATTATAATGATTAGCTGAAAAAAATTGGGTTTTATCTGAATTCACCAGCCACTGAGAGTCCCATACTGTAGCAGAAGTAAGATCCTTTTCAAGCTTAAAAAGCAATCAGAGGGAGTTGGCTTCTAATTAAGACAAGAAAAAATGGTAATATCATCAGCAAACAATGCCAACTTAGTTGTGAGAATATCTGGAAGATGATAAATGTAAATTAAAGAGTATAAGGCCAAGGATAGAACCTTGAGGAACCCTTAAAAAGAAAAGATATGAAGAAGAGTGCTGACCATTGAGGACAACCTTCATATTGCAATTGAAATGGAAGGATTCAATAACCTTAAAGATGTTACCTGATACACCGTAAGAAGAAAGCCTATGGAGAAGTCCAGCATGCCAAAATTTATTAAAAACTTTAGAAATGTCAAGAGCAATGGCCTTAACCTCTCCACATTTATCTCATGCACGATAAAACCTATCGTTATTACTGTTAGCAAATCAGCTGTAGAATGAGAAGATCGAAATCCATATTGATAATCAGAAAGTAAGTTTTTAGATTCAAGATGAGAGACTAAGTGTTTGTTAACTAAAGATTCGAAAACCTAATGATAGGAAGATGACTAATGGGAAAGCAGTTAGACGAGTCAAATCACTCTCCAAAATTTCTGAAAAAAGAAATAACAGATGCAGCTTTCTAGCATACTGAAAAACAGAACTCCAATAAGCACTTGTTAAATAGTTTTGAAAGTATAGATGACAGCTCTGGAAAACACTTCTGCAAGACTATAAAAGTAAATCAGACCGCAAGCTGACTTTACTTTAGATACAGAAGCTGGAACTTTAGATACTTTAGATTAAAACTTTAGAACCTTAGATTAAAACTTTAGATACAGAAGCTGGAGTGATACGAATGGAAAGTAGGGTGGAGTGAAAAAACCTTTTTTTAGAAATTCATTTGAGCTGGGTATGGAAAAGTTGCCTTTGGGTACAAAATGAACTGTGGTAAAAGCATTTTTCCCTAGATTAATATTTAGGTCTGCCCCAAGGCACTTGGGGCAGACCTAAATATTAATTTGAGTTTTTTGTTAATTTCGCAATTTTTGATTTAAAAAATAATAATTTCCTATCATTGCAAATTCATGTTGGCTGGGTATACAAAAGTTGCCTTTTAGTTCAAGGTAAACTGTGGTAAAAGCATTTTGCCCTGGTTAATTTTTAGGTCTGCCCCAACGCTCTTGAAAATATGGGTTTTTCGTCCATTTTGTGGTTTTTGGCGAAAATTTAATGATTTCCTATAATTGCGAATTTATGTTGGCTGGGTATGCAAAAGTAGCCTTTTAGTACAAGGTAAACTGTGGTTAAAGCATTTGGCCCTAGGTTAATAATTAGGTCTATCCCAAGCCACTTGAAATTGAGTACTTTAATTTAAATCCATACAAAACCAATTTCGTACATATTTCAGATTGTTTATAGGCATATTAAATAACATTACAAATATATAATATATCCAAGAACTTCACAGTTGTTTAAATCTTTATAATTGAAACTGAGACTTAGTGTTGAAAGTTTTTGTCTTTGATCTCGATTCCAGTGTGGCACGAATCATTCCATCTCTGCGATCAAAAGCGCAAACAGTAGCTGATGCTTTTAGTTTACTTTAACAAGCTTAACGTGTCTTTCAGTTGACTGAGTGTGACATGGAAACTCTGGAATGTTTAAAACTGGTTCAGTCAATGAAACACCATTTACAAATGACTTTATTTCATGAGTTGAGATGTTCTTTGTAGCAGGGGGCTCGCTTTTCTGGACAACACTCCAGTTGATTAGATTAGTGTAGTCATCTGCTTCGAAATTAAGTTTCGGCACACGAAAGCGTCTTAGTGACTGACTGTTTTTTTCCCTTGCAACAAGGATTCTTCTGAATGCCATTTTCCTTATGTGTTCGCGTTCATCAGTCAACATTGCAAGTAGGATGTTTTCGTAATGACTGAAATAAGCATTTCTCTGAATTACCTCATCCACAATACATCTTAAGTCATTTTTAAGGTATCTTGAAAAGTTTATCATTCTCCATAGATGGAGTGCCCCTTGAGTACAAGATGATTTCATCTTGATATAAAACCAAGTAGGAGCGTAAACTTTAACAACAAATGTTGCAAGAGTCACTAGATTTTCAGTTGGATCTTGCATCGAAACATATAACCGCAGAACTCTGCTAACTGTTGTCAGCCAGCGCGAGTGAACTACAGGACCTGGAGTCTTATTTTCCAGATTTATTGGGCATTCACCATTATTCACTGCGTGGCACATTTTATATAAATATATTTGATCTGTGAATTTTGTGAAAATTTACATCTGGAAAACTATTCATCTCTATAGTTGAAAAATGCTTTACAGGAAAAGTTTCACAGATTGGAAGTAATTTACCAATTGGACCTGAGAAAGCTTTTGGTCCACTTGTGGTGCCATCTAACTTGCACAAAAGATGTCTAAAAAGGAGCTCATTTGCATGAAGCATGCAAATGAACCAATGCAAAGGCCTATCGAGTTTCATCTCAAGTAAACGGATGACACCTCCCAACGCACCAGTGTTGACATTCGTGCCATCACAACCAACAACTACTAAATTGTCTAGTGAAATTCCATTCAAATCACAGAAATCTACTATGCCATATGCTATCTTAACTGATGTTCCATTTTCAGGGCTTATGTGACCGACATATATTGAATGGGGCTCTTGAGTTAGTGTAACATGTTCTTCTGTAACTATTTTGTAATAATACTTCGAACCTTTCTTGAGTTGCATTTTTGTTTTGTCCTTCCTACCGTCGAAGTACAAACCTGTTAGATTAGAGGCAAGGTGGGATTGAAGTTCATTTCTAACTTTCTGTCTTTCTCTTCGAATTTTACTTCTATCAATAACCATTGTACTGTCACAGTCATTCATGATACCAACGTCTTGCAACACGGCACTAGCAATGGCTGCAGCAGAACGATCTGAAATGCTATGGCGATCACATTCCTTTGAGATATTTGGAATGTTTGCTCTCATCTGTTTTTTCTCTGCTGTTCCAGTAGTTGGAACCTTATGTATTGAGGGAAAATGGACATCAGTATCGTTGTCAGTTTCAGTATCAGAAGACGTACTGAATTCAACAATATTTGAAGACAATAGGGAGTTAGATGTAGTGGGTGTTGCTGGAGTTTTGTAAATATTGGAAAGTTTTCTTTTGCGATTATCGCGTTCTTTCAATCGATTTGTAACAACTTTATCTATACTTCCAATCATCATATTTCTTGTACTTCTTTGATCTTCCAAAAATGGTCTTTCTGCAACTGGTACCTTAAAACTTTTCTCACAATTGCAGTGATTTATGTCCAAGCATTTGCAGACTGCGATGTCAAACAACTGGGAATTAGCTTCTGTACAAAACTTTTGCATCTTTGCTTGATAGTTAGGATCATTCTGTCGCCTCTTTAAGGGCTTGAGCATATTTCGATGTTTGTCATGAAGTTCTTTTATCTTCGCTACAATCCGCTTGTGTGTTATAATTGGAATTGATGCTTTGTGCCACAATGCTTTGACTTTCGATGAAACACAACTTGAAACTTCAGCAACTGAAGGGATCTCTACAGATCTATATGTCATTTCGTCTTTAAGGAACAAGTAATATTTCATCACATCAGCATTTGTGGGAAGAACGGTCCCTGGTAAATATGAAGGATTTCCGAAAATTGGGCAATTGGTACGCAGCCGTGTCTTGTGCTTCTTACACCCACTAACACCAGCCATTCTTGTTATTTTTGTTCGGACGTCACTCACAGATGCGAGGTTGTTTGAATTTTCTAATCTAAAATAATTTTCTAATCTAAAATAATAATATAAAAATAAAATAATTAATTTCTAACATAATAATTCAAACAAAATAATGTAAATACTGAAATTTGTAATTATAGGAAATTATGAACTTTTTCTCCGAAAACCCCAAAATGCACGAAAAACGCCAATTTTCGAGTGCTTTGGGGCAGACCTAAGAATTAACCTAGGGCAAAATGCTTTTACCACAGTTTACCTTGTACTAAATGGCAACTTTTGCATACCCAGCCAACTTGAATTTGCAATGATAGGAAACTATTATTTTTTAAGCCAAAAATGCCGAAATTAACGAAATATTCAAATTTTCAAGTGCTTTGGGGCAGACCTAAATATTAATCTAGAGCAAAATGCTTTTACCACAGTTCATTTTGTACCCAAAGGCAACTTTTCCATACCCAGCTCAAATGAATTTCCAAAAAAAGGTTTTTTCACTCCACCCTAATGTAAAGCAATGAATCAACCTGTTTGTTGGCTATACCAGGTAGAACTCAACTAGTTGAATCAAGAGATCATATTGATTAATAGTTCTTTAGGTGAGGTGACAAATCTGAACCGTACAAGAGAGATGGAATAATAGATTTGCCTTTATTATTGATAATGTTAAAGATTCTCAAGAAGTCACAAGAGCCTAACTTTTGAAATGAAATATGAGATTTCATGACCTTGGAGTAGCCAAAAATTAATTAACAATGGTTTCTAGCAATAGTAAACTTTCTGTTTTATGGAGAATTGTTTTGCTGATAGATATGGAAGCAATGGTTTCGAATAGTATAATTTTGTGTTTAAAAATTCTGTTAACAGTCTCCATGAACACCCATAACTATTTTTCAAATTAAAATTTCTTTCACTAGAATCAGACACAATCTTCTCCATTCAGCCAAGATATTTACCTTATTTAAGAGCTCACACAAAAGTTTTTTAAACACAAATGTTTTTTTTTTTTTTTTTTATATCTAACTTATAATTCTTTAAATTAAATTTATTTGTTATAAATGTTTTTAATAGAAATTAAAAAAAAAAAAATTTTCAAGTATTTTTTGTACTTCTACATTACATAATGAAAAATTTTAGATTAAATTTTTATTATTTAATTAAAATTTCTAATTATGGTTATTTTTTATTTATTTCAATTTTAAATAACTTTGATTCTATGAAAAAAGTAGTTCACACAGTTGTAAATTTAATATAAATCGAATATTAGCTTTCAAAAATCATGTTTCACAAGTTACCTTGTTTGAAGATTGTATATTACTTTGAGCTTCAGGAAAACATGGCAAAAAAAGTGGCATTGGTTTTACATCTTTTCCAAGAGTCTAAATAACAAGTTAAAAAATAATAAGTTAATAAATAAGTCAAGTTTACAAAAAAATTAACATAAATTAACACAAATATAAATTTCTACTTAAATTAAAAATTTTTACAAAACTTACACTTAATTCATCAAAGTCTAATTTAATTCCATCCAAACAAATCTGTAATAAAAATTATTTTATATTGTAAAGTTATATTTTATATCTAATAAATATTACTTTTAACTAAAATTTATTTATATTAATATATATATATATATATATATATATATATATATATATATATATATATATATATATATATATATATATATATATAATATATATATATATATATATATATATATATATATATATATATATATATATATATATATATATATATATATATATATATATATATATTAAATTATTAATCTGATTAATATTTTGATAAATATTCAACAACCTATTGGATTTAAAATATTCAACAACCTATTGGATTCAAAAAATTCAACAACCTATTGAATAAAAACTACAAAAATTTAACAATCTATTGGATAAATGCTACAAAAACTTAACTATTTGATAAACACTAGAAAAACCTAACAATCAATTGGATAAACACTATGAAAACTCAGCAATTTACTGGATAAACACTACAAAAACTAAACTATTTATTAAACCCTAAAAAAACCTAACCTATTTGATAAACTAAAGAAAAACCAAGCAATATAAAAGAAAAACCAAGCAATATAAAAGAAAAAACCAAGCAATATAAAAGAAAAACCAAGCAATATAAAAACTCACTTATGAGTCTAATAATAACTGACTCATAAATATAACAATAAATATAAATAAAATAATAACTAAAATATGCTTTTTACAATAGAGCATTACAAAAGAGCACTGCGTAAGCAAGAGGCATGGAGTTTGAACCCACCCAAGGGATATAACAATAGAGAAAAATAATTAAACTTAAAAAAAAAAACCTCCTTAAAAACAGAGGTCATCCTATTTCTTGAAAAAAATAGTAGTCACCCTGTTTCTTGAGAAAGTGGATACATTTAAAAAACTAGTGTTAAGATTGAAAACAAATCTTAATCAATACAATAGAATCTAAACTTACAATATAGAAATCTACAATATAATCTAAACTTACAATATAGAAATCTACAATAGAACCTAAACTTACAATATAGAAATCTACAATAGAATCTAAACTTACAATATAGAAATCTACAATAGAATCTAAACTTACAATATAGAAATCTACAATAGAATCTAAACTTACAATATAGAAATCTACAATAGAATCTAAACTTACAATATAGAAATCTACAATAGAATCTAAACTTACAATATAGAGTCTACTACTATAACAGAATCCCTGCCCCTTTTCCCTCAAATACTGCAAGAGAAAAATCGCATATTAAAATCAAAAATTAAATAATTTTATTATTTTGTTTAACTTCAAATGAATTACTAATTATTATTATTATCATTATTTTTATTATTGTTATTGTTATCAATATTACTATTATTATCATTATTTTTATTATTGTTATTGTTATTAATACTTTTATTATTATTATTATTAACAATTTTTTTTTTTAGTTAACATTTAAAATTATTCAAAATTTTACCAAACATCTTCTCCTAACAGGGGATAAATTTCGAATAACAGTAGCTCTGTATCTTGTATCAAATGAAATAGGATTGCCTTTTAAACTCACCTAAAGCATTACATCTTGAAACAATGATTATGCATATTTAATACATTCTATATTTTTTTAATGATGTCATTTAAATCTCTTACAGTGACCAGCTTTTCTAAATATGATATATGCACTAGTTCATTGAATTCAAGCAGACAATTAAATGACACATCTAGCTCTTTTAAAAAAATGAAGCATTGAACACCTAAACAATTTGAAAAAATAACAAATAATAAATAAGAAAAAATAAAACTGTTAGTGTTTAAACAACAGAGTGATGTAGTTAAACAACAGAGTGGTGTAGTTAAAAGCAAATGTTGGTATAAAAGATATTAAATTTATAAATGCATTAAATTTTAAACTATTTTATTTTTTATTGTTTTTCATCTCTAATTTTTTTTTTAAAAAACAAATAGTTTAAAGTCTTCAAAGATAAAGAGCAGAAGGAAGAGAACAGAAAATAGATTTTGTTTTCATATTTGTGTTTTAAATGTATGTAAAAAGTACAAGTTCTTTTTCTTAAACATTAATTAACTTAAAAAGTAAAAACAAAAAAATTTCTTTTTTACAAAACAACAAATTTCTTTTGCAACACGTTGTAAGATGTGTTTATTTTGCCACATGTTTCAACACCTATTTTATTTGCAAATTTTTTTTAATGCAAATCACTTTTCATTATACTTCTAATTATAATTTTATTATAAAATAATAAACAAAATATTTTTAACAATAACAACAGATTTAAGATATTAGTATTCCTTACCTTTTAAACTGCTCAGATGATTATTTTTAAGGTATAAATGTGTCAGCTGTTCTGATACCTTTTCAGAAAATATAGGTATACTAATGATAGTGTTAAAACTTAGATCAAGATGACTTAAAGTTGATAGTTCCTACAAAGAATAAACAATAACATCATCATGACCATCATTATAATCATCATCATCATCATCAATATCGCTACTTCATCATCATCATCATCATCATCATCATCATCATCATCATCATCATCATCATCATCATCATCATCATCATCATCATCAACATCATCATCATCATCATCATCATCATCATGATAAAAACAAAGTTGAAATTTGCTACAAAGAATAAACAATAACATTATCATGACCATCATTATTATCATCATCATCATCATCATCATCATCATCATCATCATCATCATCATCATCATCATCATCATCATCATCATCATCATCATCATCATCATCATCATCATCATCATCATCATGATAAAAATAATTATCATTATTGTCACCATCATCACCATCATCACAATCATCATCATCATTTTCATCATCATTAGTTTTCTTAATTTTTTTTTCATTTTTATTTTTTAATTAACTTAATAAAATGTTTTAAAAAGCAAATTTATTTAAAAAATGAAAGAAAAAAAGTTTTTGTTATTTTTGTTGATGTTACTGTATTAGATAACCAAGATCAGCTAATTATAAGCTACTATCTATTTTTTTATTTTTCAATTTAAGTTGAGGCATACTCAATTGTTTAGTAAAAAAAACTGAAACTGAAGTCATTATAAGTACAACCCCTTAAGTAAAAGGAGTGAGAGTTTGTATTTGTAGTCTTCTATTGGGTGACTTCCATAATTTAGAACACATTGTTCCTCTAGAAATCCTTGAGATGTATATGTTCAATGATACCAAGAATTAATACTTTGTCACATATGACCTTATGTAACATGGCTCACACACTTTAACATTTCCATAGACAACTGACTACAATAGTTTACTACTGTAATATAAAACTAAATGGGGAAAAATTTTAAAAACTACTTTTCAATTTTTTGCTAAATTACCTCTAGACTACCCAAGCTCGGTAAATGGTAAATGGAAATAAGGAAACTTGTGAAATATTGTGGCTGAGGATCTTTATAATGGCTATAAATAAATACAAATTTTTACATATAAAAAAGGAATGTCAAACAGAAAGCTATTCTTGATCCCAAGTAAATGTCTGATCAAGAGATTTTGTTTTAAAAGTAGAGCTTTTTTTCCATAGGTGAAAACTTTTTTTCCATGTGGTGAAAACTGAAATCGACTGATCAAGGAGATAGTTAGAAATGATAACAATAGAGGCAACTTTTTTACAAACTAACTAACTCCATACTAACTAACTAACTATATAATAATGAAAATTTTCTGACATCTTAAAAAAAATACATAATAACAACATATAAAATGAAGACCTCAGAGTCTGCAACTTGTAAATTGTTGTAACTAAGGTTGAGTTTCTTCAAACCAGGTAGATATTTCTATAAAAATGATAAAAAAATTTCAAACATAAATATTCATCATATAAATTGAAACTAATTAATCAATCAATACATTTCTGAAATTTTGGTGTTACATTTTAAGGTTGTTTACAAATATTAAAATTACTAACACTTATTGACAATGATTAAAATAATAATGTTATAATATAAATTAACATAAAAACCAAGATGATAATAAGAAAAACAGCAACAACAATAATATTATAATATTAACAACAATAATATTAACAACAATAATAATAATAATCATAATAATAACAATAAAAGAAATCTCAAGTGTTAAATTGTTTATATACATATCTAATATGTTAAAAACACAATAGCTAAACATACCAAGTTAGAAACAGTTAAAAACAGAGAAAACATAATAACTAATGACATAAAACAATTATTTATTTTGAAAAAAAGAAAATTGAAATAATGAAAATAAAATTAAAAATATTAATAACCATAATAATGATAATTGTAATAGAAATAACAATAATAAAAAAAAATTATAAAATAAGAATATATATATTTAATATTAAAAGAAGTAATACTATAAAAAAACATAACAAAAATAAAATATACTAACAAAAAACATAACAAAAATAAAATAAAAAATTTAATTAAGAAAAACAAATAGCTTTTAAAAAGATAATAAATTTAATAGTTACATGCATACACGAACATACATATAAACAAATATAGATACATGATAGTTACATACATTTACATACATTTACACACATTTACATACATTTACATACATTTACATACATTTACATACATTTACATACATTTACATACATTTACATACATTTACATACATTTACATACATTTACACACATTTACATACATTTACATACATTTACATACATTTACATACATTTACATACATTTACATACATTTACATACATTTACATACATTTACATACATTTACATACATTTACATACATTTACATACATTTACATACATTTACATACATTTACATACATTTACATACATTTACATACATTTACATACATTTACATACATTTACATACATTTACATACATTTACATACATTTACATACATTTACATACATTTACATACATTTACATACATTTACATACATTTACATACATTTACATACCTTTACATACATTTACATACATTTACATACAGAAAAACACACATATGCATACACATGTTTTAAAAATAAATTCAACTTTAAAAATGTAATCAAAGTAAAGCAAACTAACAAAAATATAGGATAATGCGCAAATACACATGACATTATGAACAATACACAACAATGCCCAATGAACAATATACAACAATACCGAATGTAAAAAATATACAAGAATAACCAAAAATGAACAAATGACGCAAAAAAAACATACAGAAATATATTATAAAAAATATACAAAAATAAAGGACATTTTAAACAATACAGAAAAATACAAGATAATATAAATATAGGATAATAACTTATAAAAATTAAACTGAAATAATTGTTTTTTTCCTTTCTTTTTTTGCTGATAGAAAAAGTTGTAGTTTTTTTTATTTTCCATTTTTGAACTTTTAACTTTGTATTTTGTTTATAAGTAGTTTTTGTTTTTTATTCTTGTTCTTTTTTTTCTTTAATCATTTTATTTATTTAAATTTGTTGTTTTTATTAGAGATCTTATGAATATTCGATGACTATTTGGCCTATTCAACTACTTCTTTTACTATTTGGTATTTGCCCGAATACTGCAAATCATTTGGCAAAATACGAACTTGTAACAACTTGTAACAACTTGAAAACAAAATACCAACTTTTAACAAAAAATAGACATAAAAAAAGGTTACAAACAACTATTTTTTAAAAAAAATTTATTTTAAAATAATAGGCATATTTGATACTTAAAACCAAAGGTGTTATGATAATGTTAAGATAATAATATTTTCACTGTTTGATGATAGCGAATGCTTGCAAATTCCTCATAAAATTTACATACTTTCAAAAATAACCGTTCACTATGTACACTGCTTCTGGCAAATAAGTAGGAAATTTTAAAAAGTTCTGCTAGGATAATCTTTTGATCTAGCTGACCACAACTTGTAAAGGTTTGTTGTCCAATTTAACCAAACAGTTTCATGCTAAAACTAATATCATTTGCAATTGGACTTCTTTTTTCCACATCGTAAGTGTGCATATTTTTTGTAGAGATAGGTTTGATCGTTTTTATTTATACTTTTAACACTTTTACACTTTTACAAAGTGGAATTGAATCATCATCGGTGCTACTAGACAATGTTGATGGTTCATTGGTGTCTTTTACTGAGAAGGACTAACCTTTCACTGACTTAATCTTTCTAAGAGCTTTTGAATTTTTGTTCTTGTTTTGCTTGTTATGTTTTAACTAATCCCAGGAAATTAATTTTGAAATATGCATGAATAAAAAAAATCTACCGTATAATTGACATTCCTGTTAAATATAAACCCATTAAAGTTCTAATTATAGTAAAGTTAATAAAATTGTAAAAAGTTTTGAGTATTTGTTTCAGTTTGCTTTTTCTATTATTAGCAACTTTTCTTTGTGCTTTTTCTATCATTAGCAACTTTTTAAATTTCCTCAGAAGTGCAAGATATGCCTGAGCTGGTTATTTTTGCAACTTTTTTAAATGGTACATTTTTATACATAACTATAGCGAAAACAATTAAGAGTCTACAAATAATGCGTGCTGTGACATGGCCTAATTACAAATGAAGCAAAAAAGCTTACAGTTAACATATCCACAGGTTATCATATCACTATAACAGGTTGGAACCTTCAAAATTGTGTCACCCAATATTCGCTGCCTCAGCCAAGCGCCTAATCAAATATTTAGTATTCAGTATTCTGCCAATTACTCATTGAGTAAACCGATAGTCAGGGGGAGCAAAAGCCAACAACATTTTCAAATCCAAATTCTATCAACAAAAAATATGAAAATTGGTCAATCAAAAGAGCAGGAAAGGGAAGAAGAATGTTTAACTTTCTTTCCCACTTTTATTTGATCTTTTATATCTACTAAAATCTTGTTGCTGTGCCGAACTTGTATATTATATTGATTGTCCAGGCTTAACATTTTTTTTATGAGACTTTGATCAGTATAAAAAATTAAGTTTTAATCCATAGCCCTTGGCCAAAATATAGTCACATTTACTATATATTGCACATCTTTCAATGTTTTTCTGAGAAGAACAAGCAATAATAGAGACTTTTTTTGATTTTGGCAAAAATGGTTAGTAGTAAGCAATGTGCTGTAGTAGCACATTTGAATGCAACTTTTAGATCTCCCAACAAAAAGGTTGCAGTAACAGATTGAACATGTGCAAGATTTTTATACATTATGTTATTGGTTCACAGGTGGGTTCACACAATGTCTTTATTAACTTCAGTACTTTCATTAAAATGCATTTATTATTGCAAATATGTATTTAAATAAGTTGCTAAGTCATTTTCTTAATTCTCCTGAGACAATAATTTTTTTAAACCGCAGGGTGTTAGCCAGCTCAATGGCACTGCGCATACTGCTGAATTCCCAATGTGTTTAAAACACCTAAAGTTCAATGACATTTTTATTAATATTTGAATATTCACTTTATTTTTCCAAGATGTTTTTCCCACTTTAATTAATGTTAATGTTGTTTGAACAAAGAATCAATTTTAAAAGTTATAAGTGCTTTATAAAAAAAAATAACACTATTATAGTTTTATTACTTTTATAATGCAGTTAGTGACTAGAGTGTTATTACTTTTGTAGTCATAAGTTTATTTTTTATTAATTTTTTTTATAACTTTTTCACTAATAAACTTATAATAATTTGCTCCTCGAAAACAAAGTGCACGGCTTTGCATAAACTAATATTTTGAAGACCAGATAATTTTCTGGACTTTGCAATTTACGATCCATAAATCCAACCTTATAATGACCTTATTTTTGCTTTAAGTAATAGGACAGTTTTGATAAAATTCTTAATATTTCCAATACCACAAAAATGCAATATACAATCAAAATTAGGCATATATGACAAAATAACAACTTTATGATGGAAAATAAGATTTTTTTTGGTATATCTCGCACTATTTTACCTGGTTTATTTTACCATATGGTAAAATAAACCAGGTAAAATAGTAGGTAATAGCAGATAAAATAAACTTTAGTATTATAAGACTATGTAGTCTTATAATGCTTAAGTTTATTTTATTAAACTTAAATAGTGTTATATTCCTTCAGGACACTTTACCTTTTATAAAAATGAAATTGGTTAAATACTAATCTATAAAAAAAAGCTTTAGTAAATGTAAATAACTACTAAATAAGTAATAACAAAAGAAAAAGTCTCACCATTGCATCATCATTTATATTAGTGATTTTGTTGCAACTAAGATCTAACTCAGTCAAAAATGGAATTTGAAGTAGTTCCTCTGCAGAACTAAACTGACAGATAACATTCTAAAAATAATTATGCATATTTATAAATTTAAAAATTTATTATGCATAATTATATTAAATATTTTTATCTTTTCATATAAGCAAAAAATCATATAATAAAAAAAAACATTTTGACTTTATATATTTAACCTGCTACACGTGACTGTTAAATGGGTCAGTTACTAATTTCAGAAACAGTTATTATTTCTGATTTGAGTTGTCTGCAATGAAAATCAGTATCTGGTGTAAAGGTTTTTTTTTATTTTTGTTCTCAGGTGAAAATAATTAAAAAAAAAAAATTTAATGTCTGACTACTAAAATACGTCTAGTAAGAAACGGTTTATTTAAAAGTAAGTTATAAAATAAATAAAAGTAAATAAGAATTTCCATTTGCCTCTTTAATTGCGTTCAATTTGTATCTTTAGCTGTTCTTTTAATAAGTTGTTTTTTACCTATTTAAATTACCTACCAACTTTTATTTGATAGGTAATTTTGAAAATTTTTCGGTTTATTATATTGGAGGTAATTTTTTGATTTATTATATTGGAGGTATGTTGGGCATAAACACTTAAAATAAAACTTTAAACAATCTTTATCTTAAATTAAGTAACAATCAAGTAAATAAAAAGATGTAAAAAAAAAAAGTTTCTTATTTAAAATGGTTTTTTAACCAATTTTTCAAGTAAATAAGAAAATAAAGAAAACATTTTATACTTAGTTTTAACAGATAAAAAATAAAAATTTCTGAAATAAAACAGTATTGATTATGCGACAATTCAATATAGTTCATGACATAATATTATATGATTTTATATTGAATAACACTTTCTGTGTGTATCTGTTTTATTATGCATCTTTAGTTGCGTTTAGGGATTGCAATCCCGGGCATGAATTACGATCCCGGGATTTTATATAATGTGAGTTATTTGCTAAAAAACAGAACTTAATACTGCATATATGAATATACTTTTTGATGTTATCAATTCTTTAATTAATTTCATTATGTTTTAATGACTTACATTAATTTTCTACGGCGCCTTAAATTGTTTTAATTGTGTAACAGGCAGCAGGTGTATATAAAGATCTTAAAATAATGCAGAAATATATATACGGTACCTTCCATATTATGTTTTAAGATTACAGACTTTACAGAATAACCTTCATCAAATAATTGGATATGTAAATAACATTTGAACATTTAAAGTGTATTTGACTAAAGTAACTAAACAATGAAAATTTCAAAATAAATTTGTAAACATAAATTTTCTTAAATTTGGGTACCAATGTAGCTGCTGTAGCAACAAGCTACTTTGTAAAAAATAACATAATAAGTTGTTTGTTAATATTGAGAGACTAAAGCTGTCATTCGAGCCAGTGTTTCGTCTAAGGTTTTTTTTTTTTCGGATGCAAAGTAACTCGTTATTCTTCATTTCGTAGGAGGCCTCTCGTCGGTTCTGGCATCATTCAACTGTTGACTCGAACTAGGTAAATTTTTGTCGGCTGAAGTTACTTTCAAATTATGCTTAGTTGATAAATGCGTATGAAGGCCTTTTGTAGAACCACCCAATGTTTTCAAAATTACACCACATTTCTTACATTTTGCTGCAAAATTATCCGCAGACTTCAAATAATGTGACCACACTGAAGTTGGGTCTTTATCTTTTTTATGTAGAAAAAATGATGTTCCCTTTTCACTGTTTTCATTCATGTTTAGAAGGATATTTTTTATAGGTGCATTAGTAAACAACATATTATTGCGGTAAACAACAAAAGCATTAAAAAGGTTATCAGTTCAAAATGTTCAAAACGATTCATTACACAGTCAAATTTTGTATGTATTCACACTAGAATTCCTTCAAGCGGAATTAATTGTCAAGGGCATTATAATGTTGCAATAACTAATAATTGTACAAATATAATTATACAAATCGCTAGAAATATCCCAAAGGGAATTGTTATGTAGTAATCATTAAATTTTTTTAGATATAATTTTATTTTTATTACTTGTTCATTTTTATTTTTTTCATTCTCTAAAAATATTTTTTGAAATGAACAAAACGACTTAATAAACTCAAGCAATCACTTAACCACAAATTCGCTCAACAATTTTAAAATTTATCTTTTTAACGCGAGAATTCTTGCCAACAACCTTAACGATTGTTTTTTATACAATAGTCAAACAAACCTGCCTTAATTTGTGTTTGTGAAACTTTTTTCAATGATAAAATCCCGAACTCCATGGTCTATTCAAAAATTTGTTCCATTTATCATAAGGATAAAGCATAAACAGGATAAACCTGCAAAGCAGCATTATATAACTCATTATAATTCAGTATAGTTACCAACTTTGAACATTTTGTTTTACAAAATAATTTAATTAGTTCAATCCTGCTATAATCCCGAAAATCCCGGGATTTTGTGTTTAGAATCCCGGGATTTTCGGGACCCAAAAACATCCGGGATCTCGGGACCCGGGATCCCGGGATTGCAATCCCTAGTTGCGTTTAATCTTAATAATGATTTTTCATGTGCATCTTAATGTTTTTTATTTTGTTAATTTTATTTTTAAAAAGTTAAAAAAATTTAATTTTACTAATGAAAAACAAAAGAGATTCAGTGTTATTAATGATTCGACTGAACATTCACATGATTCAAAATGCGATTATAAGGTTTAAAAACTGATACAATAACATTTGGAAATGAAAGAAAATGTAATTATAAAACTTATTTTAAATTTAGAAGCATGCTTCTTAAATTGAAAAGAAGCGTGCAAAATGCAGCAACAATATTTAAAAAAAATAGTAGAATCGCACTTCGAAATATTAAATCGTGTGTCGGTTTCTTTTTACTAAGTTTAGTAAAATTATGTAACGCACCATTAAATAGTTAAACAAAGTGTATACAACTTTAAATGCTTTTTAAAGTTTTCTTTTAAATAACTACAAGGAATAAAATCTGTATAGATCAAAATAGGTTTTATAATAATAAACACATTTTGTAAGTAATAAACTGTCTGGTCGTCCTGCCTGGCTACTGACAGGCATTTTTTTTAAACTTCAGTCGCCCTTGGAGAGAATGAGTCGCCCTGTGCCGCCAGACAACCATGAATTTGACTTCATTTGAACCATTATTTAAAGATCTATTTAACCATAAAAAACAAATTAAAAAATAATATTTATAAACATTCACTAAATAAGAGCCCATCAGTAAATTATGCAATCAAAAAATTATACCTTTGAACCATGCAGTACATATTTTATTTATGTATATTTGTATATGGCAAAATAGTAATGATGAAGTGGCAAAGTAGCCATCTTTAATGTAAAAGAATTAAAATTGTAAACCATTTTTAACACACAATTATTTATTTAAGTTTACTTTAAGCTTAGTTTTACTAAATGTTTGTAAAGAATAAATAAGTTTTCACAAAAAGCTGTAAACAAGTTGAGAATGTTATTAAATAAAATTTCATTCAAAATGTTCATAAACTGAGGATCTTTTTCAACACTTAAGAGGCTTCTTATGGCTTATTGGTCTGAATTATAGATTTTATAATGTTGATATGATTAAACCAAATAGTTTTAAAATATCATTTATCTACAGCATTTATCTTCTGTTAAAAATTAATTTTATATAGCTTTAAAATCTCAACAAACAACGTGCAAGCATGGCCGAGTAGTTAGCGCGCTGAGCTTCTGAACAAGTAGGTGGTGGTTTGAATCCAACCACCTAATGATGTTATACACTTTAACAAATGAAAAGATTTTTAAAAAAGCTAAAAATTCTTAAAACATTAAAAAACGGGGGGATATTTGATGCGTATATGTCATGGTTGAGATACTTATGTTATTTTAGTTTTACATTTCAAGTTTTTTTACAACTAATTTGATTTTGTGCAAGTAAAATGAGTATAAAAGATATAAAATCTATAGAACTGTAAAATTATTTTGTTTTGCATTTTAAATAACAAAAATTAAAAAATAAAGCAAGCTGATGATTTGAACTTGCCATGCAGCAACCTTAACTTTTTCAAAACAGTACGGGGGTTTAAAAAGCATATTTTTTATAAGAACATAATTAAAAATTCTAATTTTATATTTAAATTAAACCATTTTATTAAACTAATTACTTTTAAAAATAATTATATGTTTTAATAATAATTAAATCCTTTTAATAATAATTAAACATTAAAGTTATTTAATGTTGATACAATAAGGTATAGTTTAGAGTTATACAGCAATTTTACCATGCCCTCGTTAAACATTCAAAACTGAGTGCGCAACAACTACAGAATTTAGATAACCATCAAAATAGTATTATACTCTATTATTTTTTGGCTTCATATACTTTTTGGCTGATCCTTTATCTAAACTTTAAAATAAGGGATTGTCCATAAATTACGCAATGCTAAATTTCACAATTGAAGAAAACAAAAATGATCAAAACTTTTCCTTGCAAATTTTTCCTTGAAAAGTTAAATAAAAAATCTATATAGCTCAATAAGTTTAATGCAAATCGGCATCCTAAAGAACTGTTCTACTTTTTTAAAAATAAATTTAGTGTTGCTAATTTGTGGGCGATTTATTAGCATTTTATAGTCTATAGTTTATAATGCTCTAAGATCTTCTTAGTTCTGCTATACTGTTTTAAAATAATACTGTTATTATAAAATAATAGTAAACTGCGATACTGTTATAAAAGTTTTGCTATAAATATTGCTATAAATACTGAAAGAACAAAAAATTTTAAAAATTTTTAATGAGATGTCTTCAATTCCACAAAACGACACTGGTGACAGCACACTAAACCACTGAGCTATCAATGATATGCGTTCAGGAGAAAAAAAAAAACTAATTATAAATCTCTTATAAGCTCCAGGTATGCTGAAAGGATGCCATGTTAATTTTTTTGCTCTTAAAGAAATTTTTTTTAATGAGTTATTATACGTAAAAATATTGAAGTAAACAAGTAATAGGTATAGGTATAATCGGTGTGGAATAGATAAGTATAGAAATGGTAGATTTGGTAAAGACCTATATAATTTATGGTCCGGAAAGCTAGGATATAAGGAAAAAATATAGAAAGTTCAGTGTGGAATAGACTATTGTACAAAGACCTTTATTTTTACAGGTCAGATCAACTAGTTATTATTATTTTCTTTATAAATATCAAAGTATTTATGAGAATTTATAGGAACACGCAAAAACATTTTATTAATTGAGTTGATTTTGGGTGCAGTAGTTGCAGCTTACACTAATTCCTGAGATTTCACACTATAGGTCTAACTAAAAACAATCCTCAAAAAGGGTGATCATTTAATTTACCAACTTTTTTGATTAATTTAAGGCAAAAACAAAAGTTCATGAATTAATAGCTGGAGATATTCCAAAACACAAGCCAAGTGTGAGCCATATGGGAAAAAACTTAGAAAAGATGAGCTTTCCATATTAAGTCAGGAGGGATACCAAAGGATGTCTAATGGATAAAACTTGCTATCAATGATATAAAATTTTTATTGTAGATTTATTTATAGTCAATCATATTTTTGGGGAATTTTTCTTTTTGCTAGTCATCATTTTGTATTATTCATCTTTTTTATTTTACGTTAACTGATCTTTTTTTAAACAAATAATTATACAGGGTTGTGTTACATTCAAATTTACAAGCAGACTGCCTTTGGTGGACTTAATTATGGTGATCAAACATGATTTTGAGAAATAAACTTTTTTTTCATTAATTTTTCTGATAACACAAGCACTTCCTTTAATTATTTTATTACCAGAGCTATTTTCAGCATGCTGGATTATGTCAGAGATGGCTTATATATGTACATTTTCTATTTTAGAATGATCCAGGTACAACATTTGTTTATAAGATCAATGCGCCTAATAAAATATATAATATCTTCAGAATAGATAGTACTTAGGTTTAATAAAAATTTTGGAATTTATTGAAAATTATAAGTTAAAAATATAAATTATTACTAAACCTTTACATAATATTTTAATAAGACAAATCGCCCAAGAAACACATAATTCTACTGCATTCAACATTTGTATTTTTATCACAGCAACATACAAACAAATATTTACAACTTTTTAGTTACAGCTATATATTGTTAAAATATAATTAAAAATTTATAAAAAATTAGTATCAACTAAAAATATAATTACTGTTAATTAAAATTTATTTTTAATTAATAATAATCAAAAACATATAAATCAAAAATAAAACAGAAAAAACTCAACTAAAAGGTTTTAAACACAAACACACACAAAAAAAGTTTAAATAAAAAAATGTTCTATACTCACATGAATGGTATCTGCTGCTTTGAAACAAGTAAGTGATTTCAGTTGACGACGTATTAAACTCAAATTTTTTATACTGGATATGGGAATTTTATGTATCTAATCAAAACAAGAAACAAAAAACACACTTATTAGCATTTGATTATTTTGAAACAAAATTTATAACTTTTGTTAACATTTTCACAGTACAAAAAATTTAAAGTTTTTTAAAAATTTCTGAAAGCCAATATATATATATATATATATATATATATATATATATATATATATATATATATATATATATATATATATATATATATATATATATATATATATATATATATATATATATATATATATATATATATATTTTTTTTTTTTTTCTTTTACAACATCTTTACATCCAATTGTTATCTTGCTTTATAAACTTCAGATGAAGTTTATGAAGCAAGATAACAATTAACAGTCAACTTAAAAGATTGCAAGTTATACAAATCAGTAAAAAAAGATGAAGGGAGCGAATTCCAAAGAACTGATGTTCGAGGAAAAGAACTAGATAAGTAAGAATTTTTGATGCACTTAGGAACAGTCACAGTAAAAGGATGAGACTTAATTGAATGACGAGTTATACAAGAATGAATTTTAGTAAATGGCACAAGAGACATCAACTCTTTAGAGCAGTACCCATTTAAGTATTTATAAAAAAGAGAAAGAGAAGCAACATTAGGACAATGTGATTATGGTTGGAGGTTGGCTGCAAGAGCAGGTCCAGCTATGCTTACAATGTGTTTTTGTACCTTGTCTAAAAGAGAAAGTGCGTCATTGGAAGATCCACCCCGGATATGGCAACAGTATTTGATACAAAGACAGAATTTAAAAATTTAAAGAGACAAAAAATAGAATCAGAGTAAGAAATAACCTTACCAGATGTAACCATTACATATTACATATACCAGATGTAAACTTACCAGATAAAGATATGTAACAATAAAGAGATGTAACCTTACCAGATGCCAATTTTGCAAACTATTTGATATATGGTTTCCGAAAAAAATCGGAAATAAAAGTTAATCCTAGAAGACGAAGGGTAGATTACTTATCAAGTACATTACCATTCATAAATATAGGAAGATCTAAATTATTGCAATAACAATTAGGTGAAAAAAAATAAGTTTTATCTGACTTAAAGTTCACCAGTCACTGAGCCCTCTCCAAGTAATCAGAGAGTGTTGGCTTCATATCAAGACAAGAATAAATGGTAGTATCATCAGCAAACAATGCCATCTTAGATGTGAGAATTTCTGTGAGATTGTAATGTAAATTACTAATTTAACTGTGCATTACTAATTTAATTGTGCTTTTTGAGATTTCAAATCTTGAGTCAGTTTATGTCTATCACCCACCACTTATTTGAAAAAACATGATTTCCATTGTATGGCATGTCAAGGACACTGTATGATACAAGCATTTTTTAAAAAAAATTGTCTTCTGAATGTTTTTTAAATGTTTTTAAAAATCTTTAAAATGTTTTTAACTTTGAAATGTTTAAAAATTTCAAAATATTTAATATGTTTAGACATTTAGATATAACTTTTAAAAACAAATACCTGTATCGTGCAATATCGTTGTTAAGTAATGTAATAGAAAGTGTAAGAACTATGTAATTGTTATATTCCAAAAAAATATATATAATTTTTAAAAGTTAGCATGTGATGGAGGTAAACAGATTTCAAATTAAAATCAGCACATTCAAATTAGTACAAAGCAGATATTGGCTTTCATAATTTTTTTTTGGTGCTATCAAGTGTTATTAATTAATAACAACCAAATAATTATTTTAAAAATAACTTTACCTCAAGAACCTCAACTAACTTAAAATGACAAATATCTAAAGGAGGATAACTTGAGTTAACAACACCAGATAATAACTAAAAAAATATTTTAAAAAATTTCATAACAATTAATTCAAAAATGTATAAAAATATGACAAAATAGTAAACTACAATATTATGGGAAATTAATATACTATAATAAAACAAAATAACTTATACTATGACAATATAAATGATAAACTAGTGGTGAGTGTATGATATTGCACAATAACAACACTTTGTCACCATTATTATTTAAGAACTTTCTGACATGATTACATAATATTTTTCTTGTTGTTATTTAATAATATTTTGACAATTAAAGTTTATATAATTTATTCAATTAATAATTACACCTAAACACTTTTTATACATAACTTTAAATGCATAGGTTTTGCTAAGCAAGCTTACGCCATTTGAATTTTGCGTACGAAATGGCGATTTCTCCTACGCATTAAGCCATTTATGTTAGGCCGTAACTTTTTTCAATTAGATTATTCTTCAAACAGTCTTTAAAATAGTTTATGAGGAAAACATTAAGCAGTAACTAATTGTTGTAAAAGACATTTGTGAAATATTTTTTTAATTAGATAAAATATAATATAGATAGTTAAATAAATTTTTTTCTATTTTTCATTTTTTTTTTTTTTTATCATTAAATTAAATTATTATCAAATTAAATTATTATTAAATATTAATAAATATAAATTTATTTTATCAAATTTAATTTAAATTCTTTTAAAAACTTTAAAACACTCCGTTTTATAATCTTTTTTTACTGCTAAATTGCCAAACTATGTTAAAGAAAAGAAAACTTTTTAAAATAAATTTAATTTAAGTTACTTTAAAATGTTGGTATTACATTTAGTTATTTTGTTTATTTATTTATAGTTTCAAATCAACAATTTTTTTTTCATTTTGTTACAAAAGTGCTAAATGCACTTATAACTGTATATAAGATTTTTTATAAATTTATTGCGGTAAAAGTTGCATCATAATAAAATTTAAATCTTCTTTTTAATGAAATATTACAAAAGTATATTTAAAGTAATATTTAGTATTTTAAAAGTTTGTTTTAAATTAATTTATCTTTTTGCTTAATTTTAGATTATAATAGTAATAGAAATTCGAAATATATAATAGTAATAGAAATTTGAAATTTCCCTTGGAAAGAAAAAATGTAAGTCAAGAAATCAAACAGCATATTATTGGCCTTAATATGGTAGGTTACTCTAACATTGACATATCTCAAATTTTAAAGTGTGTGTCACCATCATGTGTAAGAAGAACTATTGCTAAGTTTAATAAAACTGGCAGTACTGCTGACAAAAAGGATTGTGGACGACCAAGAAAGACAAATAACACTGATGATTTTATTTATAGAATTGCCAGAAAAAATCCGAAATACTCAGCGAAACAGACTGCACAAGAAATAAACCTGGCACTTAAAAATCAAGTATCAAGGCAAACAGTGAAAAGAAGACTAATAGACCGGAAGCTGTGGTGCTATTTTGCTGCCAGATAACCGTTATTAAAACCAACTGACTGTTTAAAAACGAGTTAAATTTCGCAAAGCGATTTTAAAAATGAGTAATTATGAATTTAAAAAAATTGTTTTTAGTGATGAATCTAACTACACTATCCTAAATTGTAAAAACAAAGTACTTGTCCGTAGGCACCACAATAAAAAGTATAATAGTTGCTGAACTGTACCTATACTACAATGTGGAGGTGGTGAAGTTGGTATATGGGGCTGCATCGCATTAGATGGCCCAGGTCTACACACTTTATACAGTGGTCGACTGGACCAACATAGATACATTGACATCCTTGAAAACTATTTAATGCCTACCAAGGACATTTTTTTTGGTAACGAGCCAGAGTGGATGTTTCAACTAGACAATGCTCCATGCCATAGAGCAAAATCTGTAACAGAATGGTTTGAGCAAAACAATATCAAGGTACTTCAGTGGCCAGCTAGATCACCTGATCTGAATCCAATTGAAAATGTTTGGACTGTGTTGGACCGAAAACTTACCTAAGAACCAGTAACGTCAGCTGAAAATCTGAAAGCAAATTTAAAAAAGTTGTTTAATGACTTGACAGTTGAATATTGTCATAAACTTTTTGATTCTATAAGAAGATGTTCATTATGCATAAAAAATAGAAGTGGTCACAATCCTTATTAAGGTTTGACCTAAAAACAACTTCAAACCCAAGAGTGCTAAACTTATGAGCAGCTTTTTTTTTCTTATTTTGTATATGCTTAGTTTCTTTCAAAAAGTTCAATATATATTTTTCATTGTTTTTATATTATTTTTCTCTTAATATGTTCTAAATAACCTCAAAAAAAAAAAAAATTGTGTTTGAAATAACTAAAATTTTTTATCTTTTTTTACTGTTTTTTATGTTCTAAAGAAAAATAATTTCATTGATTCTGCTGCGTACTAAACTTTTGAACAATATTATATATATATATATATATATATATATATATATATATATATATATATATATATATATATATATATATATATATATATATATATATATATATATATATATATATATATATATATATATATATATATATATATATATATATATATTAGGCCTTGCGATAAAGCGTCGGGCAATGTGAATTTTACGTCGTCCAAAAGCAATTTGGCGTATAGCTAGGGCTATTTGCGTTGAGCAAAAAAAATTATGTTTGAGTATATTTAAAGATATTTTTGAGCGAAATTTTAATGAAGTAATTTACAATTATTTTAACATTTAATAAAGTATTTTAAAAACCGCACGCAGTTGATATAAAAGTTTGAATTACAAAAAAATTAAATATGCTCATTATTTACAAGTAGAAAAAATTCAAATTAAAAAAAAAGTTTAAATCTTTTTAAGCTAACATTTTAATAAAACTATTCAGCAATAGCAAAGTTGTCGATAAAATTGAACAAAAATACTTTCTTTTAGTTATAGATTTTTAACTTAAATAATTATTTTACGGGGGTTTGTTAGATTTTAAAATTATTTCATAGATTTAAAAATATTTATTAACTGTTAGACATATTTAAAGTATTTAAGAGTAATTTCGAGGAAACATTTTAAAAATTGGTAAGCGCAAATAAATAAAAAATTAAAGAATTAATATTAAAACGTATTCTACTTGAAAAATCAAATGTAAGCATATTTTATAATCTTTTTTAAATGTTTAGTTATTATATTTTTTATTCGTTTAGTATAGACAAAACGTGTCAAACGTCGAGAAAATAAACAAATGTTTTTACATTTTAAAAAACAAAACATTCCAAAACATTTTTAAATAATAACATTTCTACTTTAATGATTTAAAGTAGTTTTGCGGTAATTAAGTAAATTGGTGCAGTTAATGTCAATAAATATGAAACACAAATAAAAAGAATTAAATGACGCCAAAAATCACGTCGTGCTTATGCGCCTCGCAGTTTTTATTTATCACAAGGCCTGATATATATATATATATATATATATATTATATATATATATATATATATATATATATTCATATAAGAATAAATAAATTTTTTAAAATAAGTAAAAAAAATTTTTTTCCTTTAAATAACATTTAAATTTTATTTATAATTTTTTTTATAACAATATTGTTTAATTCAAAAATATTTTATAAAGATAAAGACTTTGGTGGTTTCAAATTAAATTTCATTACAATGCAGTACTTTAAAATATGCAACAGATGTAATTAAACTTTTAACAATGTAAATATGTTTATTCAGTAAAGTTACATTGATTTCCATTATTTAACAATATCTCATAACAAGGTCTGATATGCCTTCAAGTAAAAAGATTATAAAAAAACCTCTACTTCTTTCCTTGGCTTTTTTGAAATTTAATTGATCAAAAAACTAGATTTTATAGATTTTAAGTAAAATTTGTGATCAATAAATATTAATTAAGTTATATTGTAGCACTTCGACTCTTTAAAGATTACAAGCTATTCATAACAGGGATGTTATGGGCTATTCATGAAGATTACAAGCCATATATAACAGAGGAGGTATTCCATGAGAAAGTGGGACAAATTTTTAAGGTTTGTAACCCACCATCTCAGATTTCCTTCATACTTTGTAAAAATGGTCACCTATATAACATAGACTAACTTGCAAAATTTTAGCACTGATATCAAAGGGGTTTTGGAGATATCGTTACTTTAAAATCAGCTATTTATAGCAGTTTTTTCTGTTCGGCGGCCATTTTGATTTTACTATAGTTTTTGTTTTACAAGTTACTGTTCAACTAAACATGTATCTAAGCTGAAAATTAGCACCAGTATAGTTTTTAAGACGAGGAATCAGAATATAATATTTGTTTTTAATGAAAACAATTTGAAGTTTATTAATATTGGGATTGTTTCACCTATAGCTTTTTTTGAAATTTTAACAAAGGCGGAAAGGAGGTCTGGTAACCATGCATTAATTTTTTTAATTTTTTTTTTTTGTTTTTATTAAAATAGATATATCAAAGAGGGTTTTTGTACAAAATTGAGAGGTGGGTTTTTTGAGGATTTTTAAAAATAGTTAAACGAATTATAATGAAAAAGCACACTTGGATGTTACTTATTAAGAAATTGCTTATTTTGAAAACTTCCATTATAAGAAAAAAAAAAAAACATTAACAAAAGTTAAATTTCTGCTCTATTTGTCTATCTGTTGTACTCCACTGTTTGTATTAAATTATTTCATCTTCATCCACTTTGTCATTCTCTTCAAACGATCCTTCATTTTGCAATAGATGTCCAGTTATATAATTTATAATATTTTGAATTCCAGGGCATTGATTACATCTATGGACCATGCATTCCCTCGACTCTGCTACAAACAATCTTCTCAATAAGTTCATGGTAATTTTTCTCCAGTTTAACTGCGCTAAGCATAAGTTTTAGGTTTTGGTGTATTGCACATATTTTTTTTTTGTTAATTCACCTCCTCAAGGCTGAGAAGGCCCACTACAGACGATGAGGCTATTTTTT